CTGCGCAGCTCCTGCAGGAACCCACTACGCCTGCTTGTCGCGCGAAGAAATCACCGCTTGCTCGCACTGCTCCTCTCTATCTATGCGTGTGTGTGTGTGCATTTACATATATGTAGTATGTGTTGTTGCTAATTGTAAGCAACAAAATTTCTTAAGACATTGCCCTGCTGATGCTGTGGCTGTGGCTGTGACTGCGGCTGCGGTTGCCGGCAATCAAGGCACACGGACAATGTTGTAATCTCGACCACGCTATAACTGATGTTGTTGTAGACACTTTATGTTTTCCTTTACTGGAAATATTGTTGTTGTTGTAACTTGAGTTCATTCGATACCTGCGATATGGAAATTATGTACCGAGGCAGGCAACAGCACAACAACAGCTTGGCGCTCAGCTAACCTCGGCAGTAATTAAGTTGCTTCCACTAAATATGTTTTTGTTGTATTTATTTATAATTTTTGTTGGCATTGTTTGCATGTTTATTTGTGTTTGGCTAAACAATGTGGTAAGACAGCGCATAGGACATTGTTCGGTAATTGTTGTTGGTTGTGACGTTGTTGAAAGTGAAAGATCACTGCTGAGAGTCATACACACAAACACACACACAAGATAGCAATTACATAGTGTCACTTACAAGCAGGTTAAATATCTGTTTTGTCGGTTCGGGTCATTATGTAATGTTCAGCTGGTGTTGTTGTAATCAAACCCTATGCTGTTTAAATATGGTGCCAAAGTGTAACGGCCTGCATTAGCAGCAACAACAACTACAAGCAGGCCAACAATACTGTCAGCAATAATTAGTAATGAGAAAGCATGCAAAGTTTGGCATAAAGAATTGTGATTTAAATGCTTTAATTGGGAATTGCCCAGTGAAGTTGTTCAGAGTAAATTGGGAATGTCGCCAAATAGCGATTTTTACTTGATTTCTTACTTGAACTCGGGCGTTCTCTACGTGTGAATCATAAAATTCAAACTAAAAATATGACTAGATGCTTTTTGGGCGAATCTTTTCACGAGAACCTCATATCTGAAAGGATCAGTTGTAAAGGATGTTCCATTTTGAGGTTCCCTTTTTTTTAAAGAAAAAACACAGAATATCCTAATTTATTTTCATTCCAAAAAACATTCTTTGGATTTTTTTTTTGAAAAATATCTCCTTCAAATGTTGGTCGTGGCTGTTTCTCATCTCTCATAGTCCATCCATTGAATCTAATTGTCGATGACTCGTTCGAGCATTTCGCTTGGTAACTGGCGAACGACACGCGTGATGTTATGCTCCAAGGCCTTAATCGACGCGGCATAGTCCGCATATGTTTTAGACTTTTCATATCCTCACAGGTAAAAGTCTAACGGTGTGATATCACACGATCTTAGTTGGCACCGTTTTAATCAAACCAAATGTCGCCGACATCACGAGCTTCAACTTCAGTTATGAAATAGTTGGTTATCATGGCGCGGTAATGGTTACGTTCTCACCGGTATCATTTTTGAAGAAATATGGAACGATGATTCCACCGGCCCACAAACCATTCCACACGTCATTATGCACCCATTGAGCCGGAAATGTAACGCCTCGCTGAACAAAATTTGGTTCGAAATGTTGGATACTTTCAAGAGGTCATAGAACGAAGTGATGACGATGAAATGAAGGTAAAGCGGCTTCAGCTCTTGCGAAAGTTGTATTTGTACACTTTCAATTTAAGATCCCGACGTAAAATGTGCCAAGTCATTATATAAGTCGGTTCGAGTTGCTGCAAATGGCATCGAATCGACTCTCCACGGCCTTCGGGTACATTATCAGCTAAAGCCACTATATTTTTTTTATCCCTGTGGGCTGGACGTGGTCCTTTTGGTAGAATTATTTTGAGTAAAGAATGCCGACTCGCAATATGGGTGATAGTGTTGCGAATAATACGCTCGGTGATCCGACTATTTTGACTTTAAGTTGAGCAAAGCGCGTGAATCAGATTTTTTACAGAAAGAGAATTTTCGTAATCAAATTGAACGATTTGAAAACGGTGTTCAGAAGTAAAACTTTCCACGATTAAATTCCGAGCAATACTGAACAAAAACAACAAGAAAGCCTTTTGAAAAAAGTACTTCTTCTTGAAACTCCCATTACAGAAGATATAGAAGGTAGAGTCATCCAATTTCTGAAATTAATCGTTTAATCTTATGTGCAGAACACCAATTTTCTCGCTCTCTTAAAACTGAAAAATCGTTCGAATATTTGTTATGGCGGTATGTTCGGGCTGGTTCCGACAATTGATCGCTTAACTATATCCGTCCATCTGTGTGTCAAGTTTGGTTGAAATAGCTTATAATTCGCGCGACTATTTGACGACGGGCAGATGAACTGGTCATTCTGACCCGATTGATATACATTTTGATAGGTCTATCTCTTGTTGTTCTGAATGGTATAAAAAAATATGAATTTACCGGAAAAAAAGGTGGAAAGAACAAAATGCAAATGGAACTGAATACTAGATTAGATATATGACTGTGCTCGTTGTTGCGGGAAATTAGAGTGCTTGAACTCGTACACACGATTTTCTTTATATTTCTCTACCATTTACATTTTTCCCGTTGAAAACCTCGCTCTTTTTATCTAGTCAAAATCATATATTTCCTCTTTCCTCTTTCCTCTCTCTCTCTCTCTCTCTCTCTCTCTCTCTCTCTCTCTCTGTTATATTGTTGATCTTTGTCTCATTCTCTCTCATACATATTAAATACTTCGTCGTTCTTGTACGAACGCAGTTTCCAAACTACTCCCAGTACCGTTAAGAAGCTTCTTTATAAAAGATCGGTTTTTATGTTAAATTCTCTAACAAATAACCCCTGGTTAAACTATCAGGTTTAATACTGGTCCAACTTGTGGTAGGCGCACTCTGAGCTATAATTTTGTCGCTCTCCTATCTACAACATTTCTCTACTGAGAAACAACAAAATGGTGCGAAAGTTCTAGCAAATTAATCTTCTTCTAAAAAAAATTGTAGCTACGATCTCATGAAATCTGTGAGGTGGATAAATTTAGGAGAGCCATTCTCTTAACCTATAAGAAAGTATAAAGTAGCTGTTTCTTCTCCGAGTCTTTATGACACCACTAAGTACAGTCTCGCCTAACAACACTATAAATTCATTTTTGTCGCAAAATTCATGATATATGGTATACATATTGATATTCGTATTGAGGTCAATTCCAAATTCTTTTCATACATTTGTATGTCATTTCGACATGTTCTTATGTATATGCGGTTTAAATGGCTTACATTTCTGTGGAAAATGAATCATTGGTACATCAATCGTAAATGCTACATTTATTTTATTTAAACCAAAGAGAGAGTTTAATTCTTATAAATGCTGATAAAAACTCGAGATTATCAAAGTCTGAAGAGAAATATGTAAATTTAAAAAAATTTAAAAATATATGTATTTATGTATATTTAAATTAAAGAAATTCCGAATGGTTCACTCATATTTTCTTATCGCTTTGTTCGTTTGCTTATACATATATATATATACATTTTCATAATATATATAATTTCCTCTTTTTAACTGCTGAACTGTTGTTTGGCCGAGCTCCTTGTCCCCTCTGCAGTGTTTTTCTAATAAATGGATCGACCTACAGTTTATTCCAAGCCGCTTCCAAACGTCTGATGTTTTTTTAAAGGAGCTTTTTGTTTCAGGCCGAAAATACATTAAAAGTGGTTGATAATCCCTGTCGAGATGCAACCGCAATTAGAAAAATTAATTAAATATTCTATAAATTTTAGATACTTGTTGGGCCAGTACTCGCGCGCTGGCCTCCGAATGTCAGTGCGCAATGCTGAGCACGCTGTTGCGATAGCCGCCAAACAGCGTTCCCAATAAACACAGTGAACTCCAGTCAAAGTTGGGGTGAGCTTGTTTGCTCTGAGGACGTTAATAAGACCATACTGCGCGAAAAAAGAAAGGCGTATGCGAATTCTATTTCGGTAATCGAGAGTAATAAGTTTTTTGAAGCGTTGACAATATGAGTGCTTTTTGGCATTTCATAGTAGATTCAAGATTATTCGATATTATTAATGAATTACCAAGCCACCATACATATGGATATTTTCTATTTGATAGAAAACTGTGCCGGAGAATAATTAAAGTGTATTTTGTTTTTAAGAGGGCTGATTTATTCCGCTAGAAGTCACCTCACTCAAACTTTACAGGAGTCCAAGCATAGACCGTAAGGAATAATTTCCACGCACTTGTCTCAAAATCGACTCGAAACCACTTTTGATTTTGTGTTTACTGGGTTCGTGTACATTACATAAATATATCCAAGTATATATATACATTATTACAAGTGCACGAGCAGTTTCATGGGAAACGAGACTGTTCAATAACAGTGTTCTTTCTAGTCCAAATTAGAAATCTAATTATTCGTTACACGTTCAATGCTCAACTGCTCAAACTCTTGTTTAAAATTTTAAATTTTTTTTGGTTAAAAATATATTGATCTTTCAATGATACACTTTGCATAAGTAAATTTAAAATCACAAAAAAAAAATCGCTTAAAAAAAAGTAATAAATGTTTCCTCCAAATGCTCAAAAAGCTTGCACTGCTTGAGCAACGTGCTCAAAAATTTACGAGCAATCACCCATTAATAGGTGTTATGAGGGCACGCATTGCTAAACACACGGACAGATTGAAAATGTTAGAGCAAAATCTTGAGTTCTTTCTACTTTAAATATTAATTAATTTGGTAAGACGTTTCCTGTGTCTAATTTAAAAGAAAGTAGCGTCCACCATAACATTCGATCCTGTCGGTATTATTTTTAGTTTTTGCAGTTTTACTTGTCTAAAAAAAATAATAAATAAAGTTTTGAGGAAAAAATAAATAAAATTAATAAGTCTCATTTTCCATGGGACACCCCTTGTTGAATATATATTTTGTTATCAGCTAGAGAAATAATGTTTTGGAATTAATCTTAGCACTCATACGGCCTTTAGTTCTGTACTGACCTCTCAGACGAATAAATCACACACATACGAGTGTTCACCTCAAAAATATGTATCTACTAAAGTGTCTTTTATTAAAATGTATTTTAATATTTTTCATAAGCTGCTGTTTGTGTGAAAATGAGGGTAACGCGGAATCACTTGATTGCAATTGTGATGTGCAAATTGATGTTGTGAAAAATGTGTTGCAAAAACTGCAAAAGCTCGAAAAGCTCGTGGAGGAGATTAAAGTACGAAACGAGACAAAGCCGGAGGGAAACCTGTGAGCATGGAAATCTTACTATAGTTTTATTTAAAATAAATTTTAAATAATTTGTTTTTTTTTTCTTATCTATAAAAATGGAAACCCCAGCAAACGCACGCCTGCCAATTGCCTCGAAGCAGCTGCTGGGACTTTCAAAAGCGGCATTTATAATATACAAATCGTTCCTCTTGGCGACTCGAACTCCTTCGAGGTGTGGTGCGATGAAGAAACCGATTTCGGTGGCTGGACAGTCATTCAACGGCGTATAAGCGCCGCCGAGGACTTCTATAGGGGTTGGGGTGACTATAAGAAGGGATTTGGCAATTTAACGACGAACTTTTGGTTGGGTCTCGACAAACTGCATGCACTCACGACGAGTTGTGAACATGAGTTGTACATAAAAATGGAACGTTTCAATGGTAAGAAATATTTCGCCAAATATGATCGCTTTGTTGTGGGCAGCGAGACGGAAGGTTTCATTTTGAAAAATATTGGCAAATACAAGGGCACCGCTGAAGATTACTTGCAATCGCACGAAGGTAGTAAGTTCTCAACACATGATCGTGATAATGACGAAAATAGCGATGCGAGTTGTGCGAAGAAATGGCGTGGCGGTTGGTGGTATAACAGCTGCTATTGGAGGTGCGTGCGAGAGGCTGAGAAAATATTATACATATTTATAAGGTGCTTCTTTATACTTTTACATCTGTGTTTTATATGCTTACAGTAACTTGAATGGCGATTACACGAAGAATGACAGCGGCGAGGGTCTAGTTTGGATAGGCATAGACCGAAATGAGAGCTTGAAGTTCGTGCAAATGATGATACGTCCAACCGATAGTTGCATAAAACGTTTGGCATTGAGATTTTGAGCCGATTGCAGAATAGTATGAATACTTACTTATTTGTTCCACCATTCGTAATGTATGTGGTAATTTTTTTCTGTATAATTAATACAGTTTTGAGTCTAAAATATATGTATAACCCAGAGCTTAAAACAATTTGTGCTTTAGTAAAAAGTTAGAGTCATTTTTTCCGGAGGCCCTGAAATCATCAACTTTTACAAACACAATGCAACAGAAGTGGAGGAGCTGGTAAGCCAGCTCACTAGCGCCAGTTCCAGAGCCCAGGCTATAGAGGCTCGGACATACAGAACCTAAGGAGAGCTTACAGAAAAGCCTTTAATGTATCCTCTGAGGAGAACCTATAGGAAAAATATAATCAAAACTGAAGAGACTATAAGAAAACCCTAATAAAGACGAAAAGAAAAACTTGGAGAAGTTTCTGCAGCAATGTGGAGGCAGTGAGGAAAAGGGAGTAGGTTCAGGAAAGTGCTCTCATGAACCCCTCGATGGGTGACGGGACGCTGGCGGTAACCTAACAGAACATGGACAGTGTCTGCAGGCACTCTTGACCTGATTATAAATACTAACTTTTCTGATGTATCTATAATTAGGGTCTCGGAACCAACAGGGCGTGACGCAGGGCCCATAATGAAAGAATGAAAAGGAGTCTTCAGTCTAAACTAAATACCCAGATTGTGGAGTGAATCGAAACTTTATTTCATTCCGAATTGTGGTAGGCGTCTCACAGTAAGCGGAAGGATTTCAGACCCATAAGTTTGCCAGAACCATAAGACTGACATCCATCCTACTTATGATAGCGAAACGATTGGTTTTTAGGTCTACTCTTGATTGCAATCCCTCGATAAAACAACACAGGCAGGTCAAGGGAGATAGCGTTACACACAGCGGTCTCATAAAATACGAGATTTTTCTCAGTTAAGCATAGTGGCTTCTCTGGATATTGAAGCGGTCTTCAATAATATAGCGCCGATAGTAGTTACTTCTGCCTTAGCTTGCCGGGTGATCCTTTTTATACGCCAAATACTCAGATGCATGGTTGTAAGGTCTGAGATAGCGGTTGTGTCGTCGAAGAAACTCCTACAGAGACTCCTCCTTTGCCATTTCTATGGGTCTTGGCAGTGAATCAACTGTTGCAAATAAGATAGTGAGAGAATAATATTTTATATTATTGAAGATACTTTCTTCAAGGTGAGTCTTTAAAAAATGAGTAACATTTACCTTGAATCAGCTGTGGTATTGCATTTTCCTCATATTTTCCATCAATCATCAACGATAGCCGCTTGCTCTTGCCACTTGATTTTTCGTTTTCATTCGAGTAAAAGTTAAATTTTGACTGCCACTAAATATTTAACGTGTGTATGTTTGTTTGTGTGTACAACAGATTTTGCCCATGAAATATGCGCGCACACGTAATATACTTGTATACATATTGTATATATACATATATTTATATATATGTATGTACGCTAGTATGTGCGTTGCGCCACATGCAACAATATCGGCAAATGTTGCAACATCATGTCAGAAGTTTATCATAAATCGCCAATCACAACGGGTTGAGGTACTCGCTCAACTTGCTTTTCGCTCTTTGGTAAGGCGCTTTAATAATAATCATATTACCAGCGAATGTAGATATGGTAAAATGAGAAAATCCAAAATGAAAAAGAAAAAATATTTTCATTTCCTTTTTCACCTTTTGTTTTGTTCTTTTTTGTTCGGCTCGTTACTCCCGTTCATATTGCAAATACATAAATACCTGCTGTGCCGCTACATGGAGGGCTATGGCTGTCGCGCCCGGCTTGTTCCTGGCGCCAAGAAAGTTGCTCACGTTTACGTCTTTGTAGGCTTTGTGTGGTTTTTTCTTCTCCTTTTATAAACTTGCCTTAGGGCTTACATGCGTTATGTAATTATGCAATATAATATTATATTTAAGTATGCAGATTTTGTGGTAATTATTTGTATCGGATTTTCGCTTTTGTTTTATGAATTATGGTTCGATTGAATTGATAAAAGTTTATTGAAAAAAGTGTATGTATGTAAGCAAAGTTGAGTATATGGGGCCAATTGAAAACACAAAGTACATCCATATCCTTCTCTAACTAGTCTTTCCAACCAGCGGGCAAGGCATGGTGTTCGTTCATCCAGCCAGCGCATCCGTTGTTTCTTGATCCGCTGAACTATGTAAATGTCGTCATTCCAACTCATAGCAGGCCTTAAATCCTACACACGGCCTTTTTCTCGAAAACTCCTAACGGCCAACTCATCAGATGTTGCCATCGTCCATGCCTCAGCACCATATAGTAGGACGGAACGATGAGGGACTAGTAGAGTTAGGTTTTCGTTCGTCGGGAGAGGACTTTACTTTTCAATTGCCTACTCAGCCCAAATTAGCACCTGTTGGCAAAAGTGATTCTTCGTTGGATTTCCAGGCTGACATTCTTGTTGGTGTTGATACTGGTTCCAAGATGGACGACGGTATCTGCGACTTCAAAGTTGTGACTCTCAACAGTAACGTGGGCGCCAAGTCGCGAATGCGATGACTATTTGTTTGATGGCAGGAAATATTTAATCTTGTCGTTTACTGCTTAACTACTAGACCCGCAAGGTTATTGAGGTCCTTGATGTCATTATCATCGGCGTACTTCAGGAGGTGCATACTCTTACAGAAAATTACACTTCCTCTATTCAGCTCTATTGAAGACGTCATACGAAAAGGAAGCACCTTATCTGAAACCTTGTTTGGTATCGAACGGCTCGAAGAAGTCCTTCCCGATCCCGATAGGGCTCTTGGTGTTGGTCAATGTCAATTTACGAATAAGTTTTGCGCAAACGAATTAAGGATCATGATTTGAGGGTATGCACCAGGAATGTCCGGTTCCTTAATTGGGAAGGTGCCACTGCCCAGCTGGTTGATGTCCTCCTAAGAATACTGACATCAACGCTGCCCAAGAAGTGCGATGTATGGGACAATGACGAAAGCGATTAATTTCTTGTGACATTTTCTATAGCGCTCATATAAAGGACCGCAAATTTGGTGTTGGTTTTGTGGGGGGGGGGGGAGATATTCCGTCGTCGAGTACTGGCATTCACCCCGGTGGATGCGCGTCTCACCACAATCCGCATCAAAGCGCCCTCGCCCCAGGACGGAAGAGAAGGACGATTTGAAACATGGCTTTTATGAGCGCCTAGAGCATACTTACGAGTGCTGCCCCCGACACGATGTGAAAATCGTGCTTTGCAGTATTAATGCCAGGGTGGGCAAAGAAGGTATCTATGGTACGACTGTAGAAAAATTCAGCCTTCATACCGATACATCCCCTAATGGGTTGATATGTCTCCAGTGTTCTTGACGTGCGTACACTCCGAGCTGACAAGCTGCATGCATCACCTACTTTGCATAATATGGTCGGACGAAAGCATGCTTGATGATTGTAGTTTAAATGTGCTCTGCCCAATTTATAAAAAGGATCCTCCACAGCCTGAGTCAATTACCGTGGGATAAGTCTCCTTAAGCCAGTCACTGTTTGGACCTTATCAGTGTGGCCTCAGACCTGGTGAGTCAACCATTGACTAGATATGCACCATTCGCTAAGTCACACAATACGCTTGACAGGACCTTATAGGCGATATTAAGGAGGCGGAATGTGTAGCGCGAGCCGAAGCTTTGGAAATAAATTTGCACGATGTGCAACTGTGGCTCTGGATTAAGTCTCTCCGATATGAAATGCAAACCAAACTAAGTAAAAATCAGGTAACAGCAGTCGAAAAGACGAAACCACGTATCTAAAAACATTACATTTCTGTATGAAATGAACTCACTGACCTCTTCGCTTACTTCATATCGATCTCTCTCTTTCCTTCTCTTTCTTTATTTTTATTTGCCACTAATATGACACGCTTAAGGTAATTTTCACGTCATTTTACTCTTTGTTTTAGTTTTTTCACTTGTTTTTTTTTTTTTTTTTTTTTTTTTTTTTTTTTTTTTTTTTTTTTTTTTTTTTTNTTTTTTTTATTTTTTTTTTTTTTTTTTTTTTTTTTTTTTTTTTTTTTTTGAAAAAACAAATCACTACCCTCCTCCTTTTTAACTATTTTCGCTAGTTTCTCTCCACTCCACAGCTATTAACAATTAATCACTTGCCTAAACACAATCTATTAGCACTGACAGTCACAGTCGTCGTACGCACGCATGCGCTCTTGCTTATTTAAAATTAATTAACCTTTAATCTTTTTTCTTCCATCCAACTGTGTTGCGTTTGTCAGTTTATTTGTATTTGTTGTGAATGCCGTCGCCCTGCCACATCATTTATTTGCTAAACGCCTGTTCGGCTTGCCTTGCCTTGCCTTTGCTGGCCACGTTGATTGAGTGATGCGTGCGTGGCTTGTGACGTCGCGACGTCTGAGGTCGTCCAAACAGTTGATTAAACTTTTCACTGCGAACTCTGCCCACCTCACTCCCCCTCAAGTGAGTGCGTTGCCATGCAGTGTGTACGATGATGATGCTACTGCTGATTGTTTGGCAAATAGTCTGTCAAAATATGGACACAACAGCAGCAGAGATGGAAAAGTTCGCATGCAATTTATTTTTATAGCGATGCCATGTCAATTAGTGAGGCGCATTAGTTGGTAGCGGCAAATAATTAAATATTAATGCAGGTACTGTGCTGGGACTCGCTGCGGCTGCAATGGCATGCAGCAGGTGATACCACAATCACAATCGTATGATGGGTGCAGTCTGGCAAGCGAGGGTGTAGTGCAATATTAATAAAAAAAATAATTGGCAATAAATATGGTTTATTAGTGGGCAAGTATCTTCCTCCCATTATATAGCTCTACGATTTCCTCCTGTTTCTGTCCTATTTTTCTACTTCAGCAGCGTAACTCTACCCGCATTTGTTGAAAGTCTATCAAGAGCCCTACACGAGGGACATCCTTCTGCGAGTTCGGCTTTGTAATGTAAGAACAACTTATGACGAAGCAATATGATAACAGCTTTGGAATTTCGTTACATACTTTTATCATACTGTCCAGAGCTTAAGGATGAAACAGCTTAGGCGGTTAGCTTTAATACTAGATACAAGAGGCTTGGACTTTAGTCTGCTAAAATCTACTACCATTAA